TAACCACAGAAACAGGCAAAAGTCACATTTGGTATCACAAGTGAAAACAGAGTTGAACACTTATTAAACTAAAATTAATAACATTCTTCTTCTTTTTAGTTCTATTCTGCCAATTTGTTAGTTAAGTATGAATAAGCCGGACAGAAGAATCCCCCAACCCAAAAAAAAAAAGAACAGATAGACAGACAGAACCATGAATTATCGGTGCTTTACATGAATGATGCTAGAAACCAAACTTAGGTTAATAAATCAGTCTGTCATGCATTAACTAAAGAATCCCGGGCTAAAGCCACATATCCGGAGCACTAATCAAATTCCCATTACCCTCCTCGCAGTCTTCTTCCAAATCAGCTTGTCTACAATCAAACTACTCTTTCATAACTTCTAACCAAGCCAACCAGTGTCGTACAGAGCATATTGACCTGCTGCTTTCTCATCCAGCCGCAAAACAAACAAATGTGTCGACTGAAATTTTACCTGCAAATCCGGCTGGCGGATATCCGAAGCGTAGAACAGACGCAACTTGAACTTCTGGAGCCTGTAGGGCTGATCACTTGCCGTCCGCACGGGCACTGCAACCAAACTCAAACCAAGCTCAACCAACACCTCATCAAACTCCAAACCACATAAAACTTCCAGAAAAAGAGAAACGAAAGTCCCCCGGCCAAGCCACATGCTCACGAGGAGCCGGCCGCGGCGGAGATCAGATTTTTACCGTCAATGTTGCTGAAGCCGCAGAAAGGGCTGAGCATTTCGACGAACGAGAGGCCGTTCTTCCGGCAGGCCTCCTCGACGAGGGGCGTGCCGAGCACCATGACCGCCGGAGTGATCACGTCCAGCAGCATTCTCCCGAGCGGCGTCCTCGCCGGATCCATCGAGCTCCTCCGCAGCTGGTATCGGTCCCGTAGGGTGGGGGGTGATGATGCTGCGGCGGCGATGGCGATCTCGCGGTGAAGTCGGAGCTCAGAGCCGACGGAGGGGCCGAAGCGTTCGCCGGCTCGGCTCGGCTCGGCTCGCCTGCCGATATCCGCGGCGGATTCCCTCTGCCCTCCGCCGATCTTCGTCGGCCGACAGTTTGCAAGAGCCGAGATCTCCCAGTGCCAGTCAATGGAGGAGGAGGAGGGCGGAGGGAGGAGGGAGGAAGAGAGCGACGGGGACGTGAGGAGGAGCCGCGAGCGTGCGGGGAGTTCCGAGCAAGTGAGTTCGAGATCCGAGTGGGCCGATCCGGCTACGTGGACCTTTAAATGGGCCTCCAGGAAGCCCGTTTTTCGTGGGCCTTGTCGCATCTCACGGTCGATCCATTCGGCTTCGACGGTTTCATTTATTGCCCCCAAGGTCTACGTTATAAAAAAATGGCGAAACGAGAAAACGGATGCCTTCCGATTCACTCCCCCGTTTTCTCAACAATAAAGCTCGCCCTCGAGTTCTTAGCGAATCGGTCCGGTCTTACACTGTAGTTTCATTCCCGCAACGAGCAACGAGAAGGCCGTAAAAGAACAGAGGTGTTTGATTCTTGATCACGACAGACAATGATGAGATGATTTCCACTGTATAAAGATGTTACAAATTGTTATACTACATAAGGAAACAGTACAACAATAGAAAATAATAAATGAAAAAATCATTATATTATAAAAATTGACAATCTCTTGATTCTAGTATATCCAAGAATCGGCTTGTGATTTTGATTAACATCTCTAAATTCTTTACCCTTAATTAATGAATCAGTGCATTTACTTACCCCCCACCCTCAAATTGGGAATGGGAGAATTCCTAATTTATGACATAAGTTTCCAAATGCATTTCTAGACAATTGTTTCGCGAAGAGATCAGCAAATTGATGCACAGACGGAATATAATTAGTCACTTTTTCTCACACATAATGCTAATCCAATTTGATATGTTTAGTTCTTACATGAAACATAGGATTAATGCACTGATATTATCACATAATATTATTGGTGGACTTGAGAGATAAATATCCAAATCTATCCATAAGAACGATATCCAAGTAATCTCCGATGCTATTGCATGATACTCTGCCTCGGCATTAGATCGAGCGACAGCTCATTGTTTCTTAGCACTCCATGTTATACAACCGATATCTAAGAAAGTACCAAATATAGTAGTTGATTGTCGAGTCAACCGGCAACCTGCCCAATCTGCATCACAAAAGGCATACAAGTCCAAAGTTGACTTGGACATGATTTACATGCCTCTACCTATTATGCCACTGACATAATATAAGATGCACTTCATAATTTGAAAGTGACTCGCAGTAAGCTTATGCATATATGAAATATACGGCCATGTAATCATGAGCTATTAAAGAGCTCCGATGATACTTCAATATAGCGTAGGAGCCGAAAAAAGTTTTGTATCTATACTAGAGTGAGAGCTAGTAGTCATAGGTGGAAGCTGACTTGCAGCCCTCCATTCATGCACGTTTAAGATTTGACGAAGCATATCGCTCTTAGCACAAATAAAGACCACCAGAGAATACCCTAACCTCCGCCTAGAAAATAGTGTGAAGGCCCCATATACTTTATTACGAATTTATTACTCAATGTAGAGCTGAACCATCAAGCAATTTTGGATCATAACTGGTGACAATCATGTCATCTACATATAAAAATAGAGTTAGGATGTCATGATCTAATTTTTTAATAAACAATGAAGGATTCGCAATGCTGCAAAAGAAATCGGATGCCAAAAGTGATCAAACCATGCTCTTGGTTTTGCTTAAGGCCATATAAAGCTCTCTCTAGTTTGCAAACATAAGACGGATAATTTTCGTCCACAAAACCGGATAATTGCTCCATATAAATAGGCTGTGATAAAAATCCATCATCTAATTGTTTTTTTTTTTACCAAAATAATATCTAATTTTCTGATGGGCCAACCTTTAACAATAGTAATGGTGAGGAGGATCATTCTTATACTTCTTGGTCGAACAACTTGCGAGAAAGTTGCAAGAAAATCTACTCTTGCTACTTGAGTATATCCCTTCGCGACCAATCTTGCATTTAATCTTTCTAATGTACCATCGGCCTTTAACTTAGACTTAAAAACCCATCAATGTCCCACAATACTACTATTTGGATACTATTTGCGGGATGTGAAACAAGAGTCCAAGTTTTATTCCAATGCAATGCCTTGAGTTCCTCTTCCATTCCTGCTAACTACCCTACATGCTTTAAAGGAGAGCATACATTGTTCCGTTCTTTCCATATGGAATCCATCATATGCAAATTGGCTTATTTTGGATTAGGCTTTTCACAATACCGTGCTCAAGTAATCATTGGATGATTTTGATTGGGCAAATGTGCTATTGAAGAATCATGAAGGACATCCATAGTGGAATCTTCATATGTCAAGTTGCATAGAGATTTGAGCGGAGCACCAGATGAGTCAATAATTTTAACATGATTTGGGTGAACATTTGATTCACCTCCATCAATGTTGTCTTCTTGGCATAATTCAATTAGCCAACACACAGATTGATTTGAGTTAACAGATAACGCACCTTGTTACAAATACAAAAATGAGAATTTCGAGTCTAATGTTATCTATCATGTCCCGATCTGGTCAGCTTATAATTAAGATATCCCCGTTTTATTACTTTGATCCTGAAACAATGAACTGGACACGAGATAGAGAAATACGGTCTCATCAAAGATGACATGTCGTGATATATAGATTCGACTAGTTGAATGATAGAGACATGATATCCTTTATGGCGATCACTGTAGCCAAGAAACACGCATGGTAATGACTAAGCAACAAACTTATTCTTGGTGTAGTCCCTAAAATAAGGAAAGCATCTACTGCAAAAAACTCGCAAAGAATTATAATCCGGTTTGCTTCCAAAGAAGAACTCAAAAGGTAATTTCATGCCTAATACCCTTGTAGGAAGCCGATTCAAGAGAAAAACCTCCGTCTAAAAGTTTTTCAACCCAATACCTTTTAAAAAATCTACTTTGACGAAGCATGGTCAAGCCAATTTCACGTATGTGCTTATGTTTCACTTGGCAACTCCATTCTGTTTCGGAGTATTTGGGCAAGATGCCTGATTAACAATGCCAATCTTTTGCAAATCAGTTAAGAAATATGCTTGGTTGAACTCTCCTCCTCCATTAGATTGAAAGATTCTAATATGCCCTCCAAATTCCCTTTCCAAATATTTCTCAAAATTGAGAAAACATGCATAAAAGTCAGATTTTTGCCGTAATAGAAACAACCGAGGATATTTCGATCCCCTGTTGTCATAGAGAATTTCTTCTCATTCATCTCAGCTCTATTGGCGGAATTATGCGCTCGAAAAAGGTATTCGCGTTTCTTTCTCAACGTCTGCTGCAGTGTTGGGCAACAATCTCATATTTTCTGCACCGTGTCTTCTAGAATGTGATTCAACATGAGCTGTTTTCCCATTAACATGTTGAAACTTTGGCAGTCTAGTCTTCGAGATGGGAGCGTCATAAAATTCAAAGAGCATCACGTATTTACTTTGCCGACAACTAATGCACAGCTTAACAACAGATGTTTAGTGACTTTAGTCTGTTCATGGTTTATATACGTCTGACATTAATTGCATTCAGATTTATCGTAATTTGCTGCTCTCGCCTTACACATTTTCACTAACTCTGGTCAGGGATTTCTAGTGGTATGTAATAACTTTTAGTTGGAAGGTCAACTAAAATGATGCAGTTCATTTTGGAGAAGAGTCTGTGTTGTGATCAAAATCATCTAATCTCACTTGTCCGCTGCGCGACATGGTATTTGTAGGCTGCAAATGGGTGTAAGGCCTTGTATATATATCTTACTCCTGAAAGACGAAAAGAATGAACAAACAGAAGAGGAAACTGTAATGGAGAAACTCAAGAATAAAGAACTCCCTGCAAAAAGTCAAAGTTACTGTAGAACAAACGAAGCACCAAAGCTGTTCAAAGTGGCAATGTCCTTTAATAAATAAGCAAATCAAGTACCCGGAAATGATTGGCTTACATTGGCTTAAACTTTTAGGATCACAGAAGCGAATTTGCCGGGTTATTGAAAAGTTCTTTAGAGTATAGCAACATCACTTCATGGACTTAAGGAGGGGGTAGCACTGTTTTTCGGGGCATGGAACCGAACCTATACTGTAGAAAAAGGCCAAGCATAAAAATTCTGTTCATGCATGTTCTGAGGAATTTCTGGCAAGGGCACTTCGTTCTGAAGAACCTTAATCACTTGACCGGCCTTAGGCCTCTCTCTCTTGTCAGGGTGTGTGCACCACAAACCCACAGTCAACAAGCACTCCATTTCCTTGTCATCGAAATTTCCTTCTAATCTCTCGTCCGCCACGCTCAGCACGCATCCTGCGAGGTACAGTTGCCAGACCCATCTGATCAGCGGAACCTGAAACTCCCCAACTTCATACGTCCTCTTACCACAAGCGATCTCCAGGGCCACGACTCCAAAGCTGAACATGTCGGACTCTCTACTTGCCCTCCCCTCATTTAAGTACTCTGGAGCTAAGTAGCCTAGAGTCCCGACGACTCCCGTCTGTTGGGTCCTCAATAGAGGGTCCACTAGCTTGGCGACACCAAAGTCGCCGAGCTTGGTGCTGAAGTCCGTGTCCAACAGGATATTAGCTGATTTGATGTCCCTGTGAAGCACACATTGTCCAGCGTCTTCATGGAGATAGTGAAGGGCCGAGGCCAATCCCAGGGCTATTTTGTACCTTGCTTCCCACTGGAGCATCCTCCCATTGCCGAATAAATGCGTGTCGAGGCTGCCATTAGGCATGTACTCATATACGAGCAAAAACTCGCCTTGTTCATGACACCATCCAATGAACTTTACCAGGTTCCGGTGCACTAAGCGGCTAATTATCTTCGCTTCGTTGGTGAAGTTTTTCTCAGAGTTTTCGTACTGTGCGAATATTCTCTTGACAGCGACCCCTCGGCCTTGATTACCCAAGGTACCCTTGTAAACGTGCCCTGATCCGCCTTGGCCCAGTCTACGATCACTTGCAAAGCGGTTTGTCGCAGCTCTCAGCTCTTGATAAGAGAACTTTCTGGGCATGCCTCCTCTTTCGATGTCCATGTTAATGGCCAAGCCAGCGAATACACGTCTCCTGTCATCTCTATCGCTCTTTCCGAATCTCGTCTTCACAACCCACCAAGCGACTCCAACGAGAAGCACCAAAAGGAAGAATGAAACAACAATAACTGCAATGAGTAGAGTCTCTTTTTTGTTGTCTTCTCTTTTGTTTGTGTCCAAATTTGAGGTGAACTCCCATGAATTAATGATGTGCTGCTCAGTGTAATCACCGGTGGCTGCAGAAAACCCAATTGTGACAAACTCTGGGAGGATTTTTGTTAGATCGATTTGATAAGAAAGCGATATCTGCCCCGTGAAGACGTGGTTCTGCGCGTATGTCCAAAAAGCACTAAGATTCTTGGTGGCGGCATTGTAACTTATCCAAACATCTGCTGGTTCTCCACTGTGTGAGGTGGCATTCCAGGAGGAATACACTGCCGAGCCAATCGAGTCGCTATTGATCCCGACATGCTGCATATCAGGGTCCCACTCTTTGTTAGGGAACGTATCGAACTCGACCATCACTATCTGGTTATTAGGAGCCCAGGCACCAGTTGTGCTCGTGTTGAATAGTCCCAAAAATCCACCTGCCGAGTTGGGCGGGATGGGAAAACCGACGGGAGCAAGGAAGAAGGCAATGCCATCGCTGCACAATGTCGAATTGAGGGCGTCGATGGTTAGAGAGAAGTGAGTAGTGAAATCCGTGGCTCTGCCAGTGGAGGAATCCCATAACTGCACCGGTTTAGCGAATGTGGCGTGGCCGACGCGAAACTGATAGTTGACGATGTTGAGGTGGATTGCTCCTGACGATGCCATCGCATCTCCTCCGTATATCATGTCAGTTTCACCGGGATAGAAGTGGGTTTTGTTGAAGGAAATCGAACGGACAGACTGCACTAAAAGATGCAGTACAATGAGGATGAAGAAGCCCTCACTCAAGCAAGGAAGATTAGAATTTGACATTCTAGTTACGGACACGGGGTCCTTGGGTTGTGATATTCTGGGAAAAAACGTTGAGACAGGTTACAGGCTTGGATTACTATGCAGACATTGTATCGCAGTTTGACTTCGTATTTAAAGTTTTACAAATACACATTCTATTTTTGGTCAGAAGCTTTGCAAATATTTAAGGAGTTGACTTTGATATGGTCCACGAAGCGGCGTCTAGGTGATAGTGATGGATAATCTCAGTTGTGCATGTCAACGGGAAAGTTCATGTACTGCTGCCTTATAAGGACAGTATCATATAAGCGAAGTTGTCACTTATCAGTAAGCATTTTAATATGCAGAAATTGGCTCATAATCTGCCTATTGATAGTTTGCTGCACTATCACAAAATTTTAAGCGCTTTTAATATCTCTTGGAAGCGTATTCGAGCATTCTACCCGCGACAGTAGCCAAAGAGTAATATTTTCCCTGTGATGACTATCACTTTGTTGTATCTATAATGCCGATTAGAACTATTATGCGGCCCGAGATAGAAACTGTAGACAAACCGCGATGCTGAAAAAGTCCTCCGGATAGACATTCCGGAGTGCTTAAACTTCAGACATGCGCGGTTACAGAAGCATTTGATTCAGACAAGTGAATGAGACGTGCATGCCTGGGACTGTGAATGCAACTTGCAATGACAACATGCAAGTGCAGAGCAAATCAGTTTTGTAATCCCTTGATCATGTAATCCTGGCCTAAAAAAGAAGAAAAGCAGAACAACAAATTGAAGTCACGTAGTGGATGATTTAAGTACTATTCACCCCCTTAAACAATTGCAGGGGAAGGAATATAGGCAGGGGATAAAAGGATATTCCTTCCTTTGTGGGAGAAGTTCAAGAGGAACTTTGCATCTAAGAGCGTGAGGTGGTGACGAAAGATGGTAACAACGTCTGGCATTGACCTTATTAGCGAATCCTAGGAGCTCAGGACTTGTGAATTGCGCAGTACCCCGTTCATGCCTAACAACTGTTTGTCTGATGAGAAGCAAAGACGAAAGGCTTATGATCAGTTTCCGGGGTTAAGAGAACCCCCATCAAGGGCCAAAAAAAGAGAGAACAGAGAGGGAGAGAGGCTTAGACCCCTGAAAAAAGAAGTTGACCATATGCTAAATATGTCATGGAATTACCGATACAGGTGAGATGGAGGAACTGCCGCATCGGTGGAGATGAATCGAGCGATCAAAGAGTACCGGATGCAAGTTAATATTGAAAACGCGATTTGATAATATAGTCTAAAGGGGCAAAAGAACCCCTCGGGTTGAGGCATTTGGTCGGGACATTACCGGAATCGCCTGCTCAGTCAGAACGGTTCGTGGTGTTCCATCGATTTCGGGTCTAGATCTCTTCACTCGTGCACTCGGTTAACGAAAAGAAGAGAGAAAATGGTCTAGCAGGGCCATAAACAAAAAATGAAGGGCAAAAGAACACTACAAGTGCCATAACTTGTGTACGGCGCTCATTTTGGTGCCGTAAGTTTTTTTTGGATCACTTTAGTGCTAAAATTTTTGAAAAACGATCACTTAAGTGCCAACTCCGGTGCCGTACACAATTTTTCGCCGGAAATCCGACGTGGCATTTTTTTTATTAATTTCTAAAGCTAACGTGGCTTGCCGGAGGCTCGCCGGAGATTGGCACTTACGTGATCGTTTTTCAAAAATTTTAGCACTTAAATGATCGTTTTTAAAAAATTTTAGCACTTAAGTGATCGTTTTTCAAAAATTTTAGCACTGAAGTAATCCAAAAAAAACTTATGACACTTAAGTGATCGTTTTTCCTCCGACTTGGCACCAAAGTGATCCGAAAAAAAGTTATGACACCAAAGTGATCTCCGTACACAAGTTATGGCATTTATAGTGCCTTTTTGCCAAAAATGAAGCCATGGTGCAGAAAATATGGAGAGAACAACACGGACAAGAAGCCTCATCGTTGACCACAGCACGGTGACGACGATGATGTCAATGTGCCACAACAGAGCACAAGACGAAGACCGAGATCGCCGGCCACGGCCGCCGGATCGACGCCGTGGCCACCTCGTCCTGCACGCAGGCACACACCAGCAGTACCATCGCTCCACCCAAGTGCCCATCGCGGGTCACGAGCCGGCGAATCCCCACCGTCCACGTCACCTACCAGCTACCCTCCACCGTTGGATATGCTCCCCCCATCTCTCACCCTCCACTTCATTTCGGATCCTACCGGTATATTCCCTCCCGCCGGCCGGGTCCCACGCCTCATCCCCTTATGTACAAATAAGAAAAATAACGTTGAGTCCATCAATGCAAAATTGACCCACCAAACGTGACATGATGACATTATAAGATATAATGTGGTCATTCGTAATCTTCTATGCGGCTTTGCACGTCCATAACATATGTCGATCTTAGTAGCTTCGGGTCAAAAATGACTGGCGCAAGCCGCTCAATACTTTGTAATTGTTTTCAGCGTAACATTTCATGATCAATGCGATTTCATGTGAAATTTGGGGATCTCTGTCTCATGAACTAAAACTAACTCTCGTGGTCCAAGTTTTAGCTCAACCCAAAAGAGATAATATAGTTTTACCATTTATGGAATGGGTGAGCCTAGGCAATAAGTTAGGCTCGATTTGAAGGCCCACTTTGGCCAAAAGCCGTCCATTGATCACTTGAAACGTGCTATTAATAACGTCGTTCGCTCCTATTGCAACTCACTCACGTCCCTATTGCTTTAAAACATGTCATGCTTAATTCGGATTGTGCAGGACTTATTTACCGATGCAACAATTCAGGGGCGAGTGTTGTGGGATTGGGATTATAATCAGTAAATAGAAGATGGATGAGGAGAATATGTCTTGTGTTCCTTCTTCTAGTGCAGTGGATAGTATTATATACTATAGGGTATGAACTAGTGGTAGCCGTTAGATGAAGCGTCTTGGTAAAACATATTGAAAAAGTGTGAAGTGGATCCTTAAATATATAGCGTACCAAAGGGGCGGCAATAGATGAATCACGTCGGTCACTTGACAGAGTGCAGGTCTTTAATGTGGTACGTGTTTATACTGGCAGGTGGTGCAGTAAGTTGGAAGGTGTCCTCACAGGATGATGTTGTCTTGTCTTTGACCGAGGTAAAGTACATGGCATTAACCTTTATAGTGAACAGGGCAATGTGGCTAAGACGTTCACTTTGGCACTTTGAGTTGGAGCAGGAAATCGTTGCTATACATCGTAACAATCAAGGTACGATATATATATATATATATATATATATATATATATATATATATATATATATATATATATATATATATATGGCTTATAATCCAATTTATCATGAGCAAACAAATCATATCGATATCGGAAAACCATTTCATTTAAGATGTTGTGACGATGGGTGAGGTTGTTGTGAAGAATTCGTGACGGTGAAGAATCCGAAAGGCATGATGACAAAGCCCGTTCGTTTGGCGAAGCTCAAGCTTTGCTATACCTCAATTGGTGTCAGAAAGCTGGCACGTTAACGTGGACCGTGACTTGACTGCAAACATGAAGAATTCTTAAATTATTTCTCAAGTTTGAGTCCGTGCGAAAAATCTTACTCGAATTGGAGGATGTAGATCGGTTTGTTAAATCAAAGCCGTTATAAAAGGAAATAAACCTTAACACCACACTTATCCTAAGTGGACTAAACAAATTGAACGGCCAATATCACATCTTTAAGGTTTGTTCTTGTTAGTTGGTGATAACTATCAAAAATCCTTCGCCCACTCATGGGTAGCTCAGTTGGTTAGGGCGTATTTGGGATTGTGTGGTTAGGCGCACTGGTCCCAGATTCGATTCCCCAGCCGAGCACTTGTGATTTAAGTGGGGGGCCATGGCGGTGGGTTGCTGTGCTAGTCTCCCCCGAGGAATAGTCGAGGTACGCGCAAACTGGCCCGGACACCTTGGTTACCAAAAAAAAAAAAAAAACTATCCAAAATCCTTCCGTACAGTTGAAGGGACTTCATTTTACCGCACAGTAAAAAAGAGCTTTCGATCAAGCCGCATAAAGAAGACGAGAAAGAGAGGGACTCTTCATTTTGCCGTATTGAATCAAGAGGAGACGCTCAAAAGAAAGAAAATGTGACGAGGACGTTTTATCCAAGTTGCCGAACGGTGGAGCTCTTGTTCTGGAGCCGCACACAGGAGCATCGAACACGGTTATTTTATATAAATTTGGGAAACACTCGAGCGTTTTGCTGTTGTTGTTGGCTCTCCTTGTGGCGTAATACCGACAATCGACTGAACTGCGCAAATCTCCGGTGTTTTTATTTTATTTTATTGTTTCTTATCTATTTATATGGTGATTCCGCCTTAATTTAATTGTAAGATCTTATGGTTTCCATATTATCTTGCAACTAGTGGCATGGCCATGACTCAACTATGCCTTCCAAAGGTATGGAGTAATGAAACGAAAGGACAAATTAAACAGTTGACTCCTGACAAGTTTTGTGACACGCTGATTCTGCAAGGGTCGGGTTTTAGGACTTGCAACACAGCTTATCTATGAATTTGTGAAGACACTACAGGTCGATTTCCATCCATCACTGGACTTTTTCATTTGCTTGCAGCCTCCGTCATCGACTACGCATCACCTCAACATAAGTGAAGCACTGTTAGCAAAAACCGTCTAGTTTGCCATTTCATCCCCAATCCACTGGCTGATTAGCCTTAATTTCAGCAAAGGTGTGTCTTGATGGGTCATCTAACTTGTAAAGATGAGTGAAAATGTGCAGGAAAAGAGAAATGAAAGCATTGAGATTCATAACATGAATCAAGAGGAGGGGGAAAGAACAGAAGTGCTTCCCAATGCTGCATTAAGATTCAAGCATTTTCTGCTAAACTACACTGCAGGGTCCTGATTCCTTCCTCTTACATGGTTCCAACACTCGAATAAGTCGACGATGTCCTCGAACCGCTGGGCAAGGGAATTAAATTGGGCGGTAGATAATCTTG